CACCACCGCCACCACCGCCACCTCTCTTTCCCCTCACAATCACCACTCCCCCCGCCCATCACCAGCACCACCTCAACATTAGCAACCCACCCACGCCCTCGCCTCCACTATCAACACCCCCTCAAATATTGCCGACATCAATACCCCGGATCCCCACCCAAGGTTCCTGGTTGACCAGCACGGCAAGCCGCACCTGGCAGTGGTGGGGGTGGAGAGGGAGACCAAGGACGGCCATTACTCATACCACGCGGTGGGCCGGGCAGTTCGCATATGTGTGTGTATGTGTGCGCGCGCGTGAACATGTGCGCATAAGTGTGTGTGTATGTGTGTGTGGGTCTGTGTGTGTGTGTGTGTCATGGCGAGCACGTATTGTAGTAGCAGCCTCATGAGACCAGGGGAGGGCCGCGAGCAAACCGCGCCCCACCCGGCCGCGCCCCCGCGCCCGGCTCGCCCCCAGACTTTGATTCCGCCGGCGCCGGCGGCCCCGGCCGCGCAACCGGGTGGGCCGTCGCCCTCGGCTCGCTCGTTGCAGCCAGCCCTCACAGTACCAACCTTTCCCTCCCTCCGGCGCCGCCCCGCAGGAGGAGCCGTTTTCTACGCTGGTCCCCCTTAACAGCAGCAACCAGGCCGGGGTCTATAAGTGGCTGGAGCGGATGGTGACTCACCACCTTCCAGACCCCCAGGGCGTCACCGGGGAGCCCCTGCCCATCACCACGGCGGTCCTGGCGAAGGCGGCCGCCGAGAGCGCCGCCACCGGCGGCGCGCTGGCCGCCGCGGCGGGGCGTGGAAAAGCGGCGCCGAAGGCGAGCCCGCGGGCGGCGGCGGCGGTGACGCCGAGGGCGGGGGCGAGGGGGACGTCTAAGGGGGCGCCGGGGACGCCCAAAGCGCTGACGCCGCTGCCTTCGCCGGGGGGCGGCGGCTCGGCGGCGGAGGCGGCGGCGGCGGCGGCGGGCGGGCTGCCGCCCGCTGCGCTGGTGCCTGGGCACGCGGCGCCGGGCGTGGCTGCGCCCGCGGCCCCGGCCCCGTCGGGCGTCCCTGCAGCCAGCGGCGGCGGCGCCA